TCCACTATGTAGGCCCCCAGGGATCAAACCTGGGTTTTCAGGTTTGACTGCAAGCTTACCTTTACCTGCTGAGCCAAGCATCTGACACTTTTTTTTTTTTTTTTTTTTTTTTTTACAGATCTGATTATGGATGGTTGTGAGTTACCATGTGGTTGCTGGGAATTAAACTCAGGACTTCTGGAAGAACAGTCAGTGCTCCTAACCTCCGAGCCATCTCTCCAGCCCCACATCTGACATTTTTAAGAAAAGCGCTCTGTGCCAACTTTGAGCACCGGAGCACAAACCCGGGTCTCACTTGCTTTGCCAACACAGGCTGCTCCCGTTAGCAACTCAGCAATATCTTCTAAAACCACAAACTTGCACACTCTTTCACCCGCTCAGGAAGCCACAGGGCAGACACCATCACGTCGGAGGAAATATGTGCACTGTCTCTCAGGCCAGGACATTTTACCAGTTTGCTTGGTTTTATCCGGGTGCTAGGGAGCAAACCCAGACCGTCATGGTTGCACAGACACAACCCCTCTACCACCTGAGTCGTATCTCCAGCCCCAAACACGGAGTCGTGACGGAGGCAAACACACACACCTGCATGTGTCAGTGTTCAAGGACTATAACAACACACCGGGGTTAGGCCTGGCAGTGGCGGCGCACGCCTTTCATCCCAGCACCCGGGAGGCAGAGGCAGGTGGATCTCTGTGAGTTGGAGGCCAGCCTGGTCTACAGAGTGAGTTCCAGGACAGCCTCCAGAGCTACAGAGAAACCCTGTCTTGAAAAACCAAAATAAATAAATAAATAAATAGGGGACCCCGCCCCTTGTTGGGCCTGTGGCGAGAGTGGTAGTCGGGGTGTGACTGAGCCTCTCAATGTATGGCAGCCACGGTCCCCCGGGAAATACGGAACGCTTGCACAGGGAACGGCTGAGTGGGTCCCGGGGCTTGCCTCTGAACCTGTTGGCCTGGGTCTGATTCCTAGAGTCCGCACAGTTAAAGGCAAGAGCCGACTCCCTCAGGTTGTCCTCTGGCCTTCGCGTGCGCACCACAGAGCACACACGAACGAATGTTAACTCATCTTCTTCCCCCCGAGACAGGGTTTCTCTGTCCTGGCTGTCCTGGAACTTGCTCTGTAGCCCAGGCTGGCTTTGAACTCACAGAGATCCACCTGCCTCTGGCTCCTGAGTGCTGGGATCAAAGGGTGGGCCACACCACTGCCTGGCAACTTTTTTTTTTTTTTTTAAATGAGAACATAGGGGCTGGGAATGCAGTTTAACTAGCAAGCAGGAAGTCCTGGGTTGCATTCCCCCAGCAGAGTAGAAACCAAGTCTCGTAGTGATGCCTGCCTGCTTCCTCAGCACCAAGGAAGAGGTATCAAAGGTTCAAGGTTATCCTCAATTACTTAAGGAGTCTGGGACCAGCCTGGGCTATAAAAGATTAAACTAAAACCATTTTTACCAGTCTTCCAAACTGGACACTGAAACCCCGCCACCAAATTGTACATACGGCTACTGTGGAGGTGCACAAACACGCCTCTCCTTGGGTATATCCAAATCCCAGGAATACTTTATTCTACCCCTAGCATCCCCCCCCTCCATTTAAAACAATTTCAAGAGCACGAGAGACGGCTCAGAGTCTAAGAGCTCAGGCTGCTCTTCCTGGGAACCCAGGTTCAATTCCCAGCTCCCACACGGCAGCTCCCAACTATCTGTAATTCCAGTTCCCGGGACCCCATGCCTTCTTTTTGCCTCCTCGGGCAGGGCACCAGGCATGCGCCACAGATACACATGCAGACAGAAAGGCTCAAAGACTGACGTGCTACCCACTGCACTAACAAGGCACCTACAAAACCCTCATCGACAGTAAAAAAAAGTCAATAGCATGTGCAGGTCAGAGGGCAGCTTGCTGGAGTCAGGGCTCTCTCTCCTTTCCTCACGTGGGGCCTGGGGAATCAAACTCAGGCCTTCAGGCTTGGTTGTAAGTGCCTTTACCCACTGAGCCATCTGGCCAGCCCTTCCCATCATTCTTAATGAACACTAACTCACTGACTCTACTCTGTGCTCGCTGGTCCTGAGACTGTTTCCTACAGTAAAATCAAGACCAGGGACTTCCTCCAGCTGGGGCATCAGTCCCAATGCTGTGTGTTCTGCTGCTCCACCACTGACAAGGCCACATCAAAGTCACAAACTAGACCTGTTCCTCCTGAAATTGCTCTGGGGACTGAAGTTCCCCAACACCCAAAAGCCACCCCCACGTAAAGATTCTACAGTCTGATCACGGAGTGTTAGAATGTTGCAGAACCCAGTGCCAAATCACCAGGAGTCACCACCAGCTACCTTTACCCCGATGGCAGCCATTCCTTGCCCAAGTCTGTATCTATTCTAATTTCCTTTCTACCACCACATGGAACCTCTGGGAATATATCATCTTTACAAATCACCGATTCGAACCAACTCCAAAGCTAGAGATGCCATCAGACAGCATTGGAGATCTTATCTCTGAACTCTCCCGGATTGCAGATCTTTTCTCCCGGCTCTCTCTTGTTTGCTTAGCCCTAACCCTGTTGCAAACACCGGGATCGAAAGCAGCTAGAGAAGGGAAGGTGTATTTCAGTTTACCAGAGACAGGGTTTCTCTGTGTAGCTCTGGCTGTTTTGGAACTCACTCAGTAGAGCAGGCTGGTGTGTTCGATTTCGATTTCTTTACTGCGCCCTTCACACTCATTAACCTCTGACCTCCATAGCCCAACTCAAATCGAACATGCACACAATAGACAAAATGCAATGTATATCTAATTGATTCATTTATTTTTGAAGAAACACTTTCATTCTCCCCAGCAGGCTGGGGACACTTCGGGGCGGGGGGAACTATGGGCTGGCAATAGGCTTTTAAGAAAGTTCCAGAAAGAAGCCTTGGGTTGCATGGACCTGACTAGCTCAGCCAGAAAAGCACAGGGAGGTATTGATCCCTCACTCTCCAGACCAAGCCTGGAGTGGCTCCAAGGCTGCCGTTGGTGGCAGACACCTAACCAAAGCCCAGACTCTCCTGCTAGCTTAGAGAGAAGGCCTGGCATGACTCAGGAGACGGGAACAGAGATTCACAAGAGGAAATGGGAGGGGAAAGGAAAAAAAAACCAACAAGCGTTTGCTACCTCAGGCGGTTTTACGTCTAGTGACACGATGTGACGTTAATTTGATTTAGAAGTTTTTGAGGGAAATGGAGAAATCAAAAGTCCCCTGGCTTTGTGTTAGCTTGCAAGTTGGTTTTATTTACTCATTTGTGTGCTAGCTAACGGGTATGCACCCAGATGGCAGCTCACAACTGTCTGTAACTCCAGTTCCAGGGGACCTGACGCCCTCATACAGACATACATGCAGGAAAAAACACCAAGACACATAAAATAAAGATAAATTATTTTTTACAAAAAGGAACAGCAGTTTTAGAATCTATCAAACTCAAAACAGATGCTAAAGAACAGCAAAAAAAAAAAAAAAAAAAAAAAAAAGTAATAACAAAAATGTAAAGGTTGTTGTCAGCTTCCCCAGGAACCAGGAATCTGACTTTTCTATCTTTTCTTTCACTTCAGTAAGCTGTGCCGGAGGTTGGCCAGGAAGAAAGACGTTTTGCGTGGGAGTGGGATGCTGATGTCTGCTTACAGAATGGGGTAGTGGGGAGGGAGGGTTTCCTAGGCAGGGCTTCTCTGTGTAGCCTTGCCTGGCTGTCCTGGAACTAGCTAGGCAGACGGGCTGGCCTCAGACTCACTGAGATCTTCCTTACTCGCCACAGCAATGGGAACACCGCGCAGCAGGGCAGGGCAGGGCCGGGGGAGTGGGGGGGTGGGGTGGGGGTCCCATAGTGGGGCGGGGGTGGGGTGGGTGGGGGTGATCCCACGGTGGGGTTACTGCATAAAGTCAGAGGAACAACACGGTGAGTGGCTACACAGAAAATCCACATTTCCCGGAGACCTGCCCCTCAGATCCCATTCAGAAGTTAACCCAGAGCGAACCTTGTGAGCACACACCTATCATCCATCGGGCACTCGGGGGTGATCGAGGGCAGGGAGATCCTGTGTTCAAGGTTAGCCTAGAGCAGCTGTTCTCAACCTCAGGGGGGCGACCATTTTGGGAGTCGTATATCAGATACTTACATTACAATTCATAACAGCGGCAAAATCACAGTTATGAAGTAGCGACAAAAATAATTTTGCAGGGGGAGGGGGCTCACCACACCATGAGGAATTGGATTAAATGAGTCGCAGCATTAGGAAGGTTGAGAACCACTGGCCTAGAATTCAGTTTGATACCGGCATGAGCAACATGACTCTATTTCCTCCTGACACAGGTGAACCAGGCTGGCAGATCTACCTGCCTCTGTCTCCAGAGCTCTGGGATTAGAGGCTTTTTTTTTTTCCTTTTAAATTTAACTTATTTTTATTTACATTTATTTTGTTAATTTTTATTTTTAAAACGATATTAATTTATCCTATTTAATTTTTAAAAACAAATTCTGAATGATCTCATATGGCCCAGGCTGACCTCAAAGCCGCTATGCGTAGTCCAAAATGACTTTGAACTTCAGCTCCTCCGGCGGTGTCTGAATCTGGCCCTCGGGCACCTTCCACAGACCCTCTCCAACCGGGAGCTACCAGAACTCGTCCCCAGCCCTGGTTTCCTTTTGTTTTGCTCCCCCACCTCCTGTCTTTCGTCTTCGTCGTCTTCTTCTTTTTTAATTATTATTATTGTTGGTTGAGACAAGGTCTCACTTTAGCCCAGACCCACCTGATACACCCCAGGCTGGGCCTCAGACTCTCTGCGATCCTCCGGCTGCAGCTTCGTGAGTGCTGGCATTTCAGACCTGCCCAGCCTCTCTCCCCCGTCCCCGCCCCCGTCCCCCCCCCCATCCCCGGATTGGCTGCGCCGGTCCAGAGGAGGGCTCTAACTGGACTGTACCAGCCAGCATCGTGTGCCCAGCAGTATTGCAGGCCAGGGGCGGCTCGGAGGATGCGGACTGCTTCGGCGCTGCTAGGTGGGATCCCGGGGTCTGCACACTCGAGGTCGCAGGAGGAGCTGGGTCATCTCCCGAACCGCATGGGTCGCCGCACCCTTCTAGCCTTGTTCCTGTTGCTGCTCCTCCGCGAGCCCCAAAGAGCCGGTAAGGAGCTGCGCCCTTGCTCCTTGCGCACCTGCGGGGGAGGAGCCGAACCTCACCCCGGGCCATCTGATCCCTTCTTCCCGGCCCAAAGTCCTAGGTCTGGATTCCGGGGACACAGATTTCAGGAAGATCGGGTCTGATGACACACGCCGGTCATTCTAGTGCCCGGGAGCGAGACGGGAGGATTACGAGAGTTCCGGAGAACCTAGGCTTCAGAATAAGACCCTGATCTCCCTTCCCACCCCCAACATAAGTTTTCAGGGCTACACCTGGAAACCCTGTCTCAAAAAAAAAAAAAAAAAAGAAAAAGGAAAAAGAAAAAGAAAAAGAAGAAGAAAAAAAGAAAAAGAAAGGAAGGAAGGAAGAAAGGCAAAAAAAAAAAAAAAAAAAGAAAGAAAGAAAAGAAAAGAAAGAAAGCCAGGCAGTGATGACTCATGCGGGGAAACTTTTCTCGCGTCACACCCTGTGTGTGCAGCCTCCGAAGGAATGTTCCTCTGGACTGTAGTAGTCCCGCCGCGGCTCCCACCCCGTGGCCTTCGTTTCTTGCTTTTGCTGTATCCGAGACTGAAGTCATTCCCCCCCCCCCGTTCCCGCCCCCGCCCCCTCTCTTGGTGAAGGGCGCAGTCACTGAGCACGTCCCGGTGCCGCGGCTAGAATCGCCTTCCTCACCCCCCCCCACCCCACCCTGCAAGCGGGAGCTCTGGGCTACGCGATGCTCCAGTCACTGACGGGAGCGCAGGCGTGGGAATCGCTGACCTCAAGGCTGCAATTCAACCAGCAGGGTGGTGGCTTTAATCCCAGCACAGCCAGGGCTACACACTGTCTCGAAAAACCAGAAGAGACAGAGACAGAAAGACAGAGAATCTAGGTAACAAACCTGTGACAGATTATACATGGATCCGACTGGGAAAGGGAAAAAGACAAGATCTCCTAAATAAGATGGGAGCCTGCGGGGCAGGGCGGAGGGTGAAAAGGGGGGGGAGGGGAGGAGGAAAGGGGGGGTGGAGAAAAATAAAATAAATTTTAAAAAAAGAAAGAAAAAAACAAAAAGACTTTTCTATAGGTCCACCTCTGTTTTATTTTATTTTTTTCGAGACAGGGTTTTCCTGTGTAGCCTTGACTTGTCCAGGAACTCTGTAGACCAGGCTGTCCACGAATTGACAGAGATCTGCCTGCCTCTGCCTCCTAAGCACTGGAATCAAAGGCAAGCGCCACCACCGCCTGGCAAGGTCCGTGCCAGGCCCGTGTTCGGGTGTGTTCCCCCCACCCCCACCCCAAGGGGATTAAATCTTTACCGGAAAAAAGCCATTGCCAGACGTTAACATCTAAATTACAGAGCCCATTTTCCAGATGCAGATACTGAGAGTCCCAAGTTCAACCCTGTGCTGAGTGGCTCGAGGCTTATCATGGCAGTATTTCCCAGAATTTAGCTCTGAAGTCATCCAGAATGCCCAACACTATATTCAGCTAATGTCGGAGGCCTACTGTGTGTTATTGAGGTAAAGACAGAGTCTCACAGAGAGCCTAGTGGAGTGACTACGAATGGCCTGGATTCAAATCCACTTTGTCATCTTATGCCTGTGTGATCTCCCAGCAAAACCTTCTGGGCCTCCGTTCCCTCCCCTCCACCCACCCCCACTCCCGTTTATAAGTATAAGGTGGTGGTGCACACCTTTAATCCCAGCATTCAGGCAGACCTCTGTGAGTTCCAGGCCAACCTGGTCTATACACTGAGACCCATTCTGTAATAATAATTAATAATAATAATAATAAATATACTATAATAATAATAGGCTGGAGAGATGGCTCTGCGGTTAAGAGCACTGGCTGCTCTTGCAGAGGACCTGGGTTCAGTTCTCATCTCCCATGTGAGTGGAGATACACAACCCTCTATAACTCAAGTTGAGGGGGAATCTGATTCCCCTTTCTGGCCTCCATGGGCCCTGCACATGTGTAGTTCACATCCTTACATGCTAGCAAATTCACACGCAAATGAATCTTTGAATGAATTTAACTGGTAACACCTCTGGTTTTGCAGCGTCTGGCGTATCCGTGCAGGTGCTCCCCAACGTGACTGGCCTCTTGAACGAGTCTGCCTACTTGCTCTGTAGCCTAACGTCTTCAGAGAATGTGACGGTCACACAGGTTACGTGGATGAAGAGAGAGCAGCCATATGGTTCTCATCGTACTTTGGCTGTGTTCCACCCCATGAAGGGACCCAGCATTGCAGACTCAGAAAGGGTGAAGTTCTTGGCCTCCAGGCTGGACAGGGATCCGTGGAACGCATCTCTGTCCCTGTCCCACCTGCGTCTTGAAGATGAAGGCATCTATGAATGTCAGTTTGCCACTTTCCCTGTAGGCAGCAGGAGTGCCACTGTCTTGCTGTGGGTGCTTGGTAAGTGTCGGAGTGAGGACAGGGAATCCCGGGGCCGGAGGAGCAAGGATCTAGCCAAAAGCAGAAGGCTTGGGTGATGACACCCTTGGGACATGACCTGTCTTCCAAAGTCAAAAGATCCAGGCGGGATCCATGTAGCCCAGGCTAGCCACCAAGCTGCTATGTAGCTGAGGGTGACCTTGAGCTCCTGACCTTCAGTGTCTGCTCCCGAGTGCTGGGATTACACCATGGTCACCCAAACCCTTGTTGATATGTGGTCACGATGTGTAGCCCTGGCCAACCTGAAACCTGTCTTATAGACCAGGCTGGCCCCAAACTCACAAAGCTTCTCCTGTCTCTGCCTCCTGAGTGATGAGATTAAAGACAGGTACCACCACTGCCTGACAATCCTTCCTTTTTCAATCAAATAGTATTTATGGAGCTAGGTACTAAAGAGCATCCTTTTTAATATATAGGAATGTACCAGGCTTTTTCTATTTGGTCCACCAGCCAGCTCCCAAACCATGGCACAGAGACATGTTATTACTATCTTGAGCTTGATTCTGACCAGCTCTTTGTTTCTCTTTATCTACCTTTTGCCTCGGGGCTTTTTACTTTCTGTTTTTGTGTATCTTTCACTGCTTCTGGGGTCTGCCTGGCTGGTGGATGCCTGGTTTCTGGCTCCTTGCTCTCTCTCTCTCTCTCTCTCTCTCTCTCTCTCTCTCTCTGTCTCTCTCTCTCTCTTCTCAAGCCTAGATTTCTCCTTCTGTTTATTCTCTCCGCCCGCCAAGCACCACCCATCCTTTCTCCTGCCTAGCTATTGGCCATTCAGCTTTTTATTAGACCAATCAGGTGCCTTAGGCAGGCAAGGTGAAACAGCAGCACATCTTTATATAAATAAACACAGATCCTTACATTGTTAAACAAATGCAACATAAGCAAATGTAAAGCACCTTTACATAGTTAAATATTCTGCAACATATATGTGTACCCACACATATGTAATATAGATCAGCATAGATTATCTATATTACGTACATGACTGAGTGTTTTCCTGCATATATATCTGTGTACCACTGGTGTGTCTGATCCAGAGGAGGCCAGAAGAGGGTGCTGGATCCCATAGTGTTAGTTGTGAGTATCATGCTGGTTTGGGGAACTGAACCTGGGTCCTCTGGAAGAGCAGCCAGTGTTTTTAACTGTTGTGCCTCCTGTCCATAGCTCCCTCCCAGGGACCATTCTGACAGCTTGACCTTGTATTCTTTGTTGTTGTTGTTGTTGCTTGTTTGGTTGGCTTTTCGAGACAGGATTTCTCTGTGTAACAGCTGTCTTAGTTGGGGTTTCTATTGCTGTGAAGAGACACCATGACCACGGCAACTCTTATAAGGAAAACATTTAATTAGGGAGACTCACGCACAGGTTCAGAGGCTCAGCCCATTATCATCATGACAGGGAGCATGCTGGCGTGCAGGCAGACGTGGGGCTGGTGTTGAGAGCGCTACATCCTGTAGGCAGCAGGAAGTCAACTGACTGTCACACTGAGGGAAGCTTGAGCAGAAGAGACCTCAAAGCCCGCCCCCGCAATGACACTTCCTTCAACAAGGCCACTCCCTTGAGGAACCATTTTCTTTCAAACCCCCACAACAGCCCTGGTCATCCTGTAACTCACTCTGTAGACCAGGCTGGCCTCGAACTCGCAGAGATCCTCCTGCCTCTGCCTCCCTAGTGCTGGGATTAAAGGCGTGCAGCACCACTGCCCGACAAACTGTGTATTCTTAGTACCTCCCTTTGACATACAGATGTATCTACACCTATCTGGCTCTTCAGAAACAGGGTTGAGGTGTTTGTTTGTTTGCTTGCTTTCATTATATTTTATTTATTTGTCTGCCTGTGCACGTGTGTCATGACGTATATGAGGTATGGGCGTTGTCCTACCATGTGAGTTCTGGGGATTGAACTCAGGCTATCATGTTTCACAGCAAGCACCCTTATCCACTGAGCCATCTTGCCAGCCCTGAGCTAGGATTTCAAATTGGCCATCCCATACCCTTTAATTGCCCCTTCAACACCAAGCATAGCGGCACATACCCGTCTTCCTGCTGCCAAGGAGCCCGAAGCTAGAGGCTCAAGAGCTCAAGGCCAACCTGGGCTACATAGTGAGAGCTTGTCTCAAAAACAAAACAAGGGTAAAACAAAGGTAAAGGGTTCTCCTCCAGCCGCTGAGCAGCCTGTGAAATGCTGTGTCTTCAATGGTTCTTGCAGCCAAGCCTAACAATACGGCAGAGCCCCTGAAGCCGTCTCCCGTCTTGATGGAGCAGCCCGTGGCTAAATGTATCTCCATTGGCGGTCGTCCTCTGCCGGAAATCGACTGGCTCTCAGACCTAAACGGAACCTTCAATGAAACTCACGAGTCACGGCAGGGCACCTTCATAGTTATCAGCACTTACTACTTGACGCCCTCGATCCAGGCCGACGGCAAGAACATCACCTGCAGGGTGAAACATGAAAGCCTCCAGGAGCCGGAACTGAGGTCTTTGACCCTCTCTTCGCCCTGTGAGTGTATCTACGCATATGTGTGGGCCCGGCTTCTGTCCCCTGCTGTCTATACTAGTTCATCCACCATCTCACCCAGGCCTTAGGCCACCGGCTTGGACCCCTTACCTTTTCTAGGACACCCACTGTTGGCCCATCATGGTCCCCTCCCCCCATACTGTCTGCCGATCTGCCCATTCACATTTCGCTGTGCAGCCATGGGAAGGCTGTGTTGACGACACTGAATCCCCGGTCAGGGTTCACACGATCCTCCAGGGTGGTCTATACCGCCTGGCATTGTCCACACGCTGGCGCATCTCTGGGCTGTCTACATTCCCTCCACATGTAATTAGCTGTATTTTGTGGGTGGAGCCTCACACTCTGTGGGCCTAGAGTCACCTCCCTTAGCTGCCTAGCCTTGTCCAAGTTTGGGTGGGGGCTCCAGCTCAGTTGGTAAACTGCTCTCCTTGTGTGCACAAAAGCCGTGGGTTTGAACCCCAGCACTTCCCAAGCCTGGCGTGGTAGCACACACCTATAATCCCAGCACTCAGGAAGTGGAGATCAGAGTTTCGCGTCAGCCTAGAGCTTGATGGGAGCATGTTCAAGTCCAGCCTGGGAGCTACATGAGACCCTGTAAGTCTGGTGTGGTGGTACCCCAACATTCGAAGGCTAAGGTCAGAGGATCCAAATCCGAGGCCAGGCTGGGCTACGACACACTCAGAAACAAACCCAAACCCATTTAATGTGCATAATAGATTTTTACCCTCCCAAAATATCCAAAAGATAAATTTTTTAAAGATTTTTTTTGGGGGTTCACTGGTGGTGGTGTCAGTTGCCTTTAATCCCAGCACTCAGGAGGCAGAAGAAGACATGTGAGTCCAGCCTGGTCTGCAGAGTGAGTTCTAGGACAGCCAAGGCTACATAGAGAAACCCTGTCTTGAAAAACCAAAAAAGAAAAAAATTATTACATTTGTGTGTGTGTGTGTGTGTGTGTGTGTGTGTGTGTGTCTAGGGGAGACATGCTGTGCATGTGGAGATCAGACCCTCAATTCCCACCTTCCCTGTGTAAGAATTGGAGTTTGACCTCAGGTCATTGGGCCTGGTGGCAGGCACTCAGAGTCATCTCACTGGCCCAAGAGCATCGAGTTGGCACGTGAATGATTTCTCAGACAGTCTTGGTGAGACTTTTTACATTCATCTTGCCAGACTAAAGCTTCAGAATTGTGTCTTAGACCAGCCATGAAGTCCTGAGAATCTGTGTAGCTTTGGTTACCATATTGATCTGCAGGGATTTAAGCTCCTGTGTGGTCTACACACACACACACACACACACACACACACACACACACACACACACACAGAGAGAGAGAGAGAGAGAGAGAGAGAGAGACTATCATCTCTCTTACTAGCATTACCTTACCCTAATTATCTTTGGCCCTGACTCCTCTAGGAATGAGTTGTGCTCCTACCCAATAGCATCTACGTTACTGTCCCGTACCCTGTCTCTACCAATCCCATCAACAGTATCAATGCAAAATTGCTTTTCAGGGAACGAAGTGAGCTGGGGTCTCAAAAATGTAGCCCCGGCTGCCCTCAAACTCATGATCCTCCTGCCTCAGCCTCCTCCCAAGTGCTGGCTCCTATACAGGTTTCTTTCCTTCCCATCATTGCCCACCCTGGGCTCTCTCCTGAGGACTTCTCTGAGCCATGAATGTAGTCCTGGGTGTTTGGAGTATCCAAAAATGTCTATACTCACATGACACCCAAGACGAGCCAGGGGTTGTTCCAGGAAAACCCTCTTAAAGGAAGGATCTAGGTGGGAAGTCCCTTTTGTGCCCCCTGACTGAGGGTACCCAGACCTATCCATCATGGGCCAAGCTGCCTCCTGCTCAAGAGAGGGCCCTTCAGACACTGTCCAGACCTCAGCCTCGGTGTCCATTCTCTCCAGATCCTCCTGAAGTGACCATCTCTGGCTATGACAACAATTGGTGTGTGGGTCGCACTGGAGTGGCCCTCACCTGTGACGCTCGAAGCAAACCAGAGCCCTCCGGCTATAAATGGAGCATGTAAGTCACAGGGACCTGGAATTGGCTGTGTGGGAGAGGGCAGGGGTCAGAACCCTCAGGCCTGAGAGCGAGGAGAATATAGGAGCAGTAAAAATAGAGTTGGGGAGCATTGGTGGCGCAGACCTTTAATCCCAGCACTCTGAAGGCAGAGGCAGGAGGAGCGAGTTCCAGGGCAGCTAGGGCTACATAGTGAAACCTGCTTGGACATGGCAGCGCAGACCAAGGCGGTATCTGGTAAACAACAACAGAAACCCTGCCTCAAAAATAAATAAACAGGCTGGAGAGATGGCTTAGTGGTTAAGAGCACTGGCTGACCTTCCAGTGGCTCTGGGTTCAATTCCCATCACCCACATGGTGGATCACAACCATCTGTAACTCCACACCCTCACACAAGCACACATACAGGCAAAACACCATTGAATGTAAAATGTAAATAAGTTAAAAAAAAAATAGAATCAAAACAGGTAGAATCATTTTCTATCATTTTATATTCCCAGTAAAATTTCCATCTTGTGACTGGGGATTTTCTGAGGTGAAAGGATCCAGGCCGTGGTCACTAACTCTCCTGGGATTTTTTTTTAAACACCACACCCTTCGGGATTCCCCTTCCCAGTGCATGTTAAAGGTCACAAAGTGCTGGGACAATGGCAAGTCCCTGAGAGGGTCCTCACAGAACAGGAGCAAATCAAAGCTGTCTGCCCTCATAGCCAGATATTGCTTCCTTTTTGCCCCTGAAACCTGCCAGTCATCCCAGCTACCGCACCCCACCCCCTCTGCCCCCGAGGCCACCGGCCTTCCCAGGGCACGGATGGGGAAGTTAGTCTCAGAGCTGCGACACTAACTGATTCGGAGGCTGAGCGTGTAAGAAAGGGAAAGGGTGTCGAGAGACGGCTCAGTCGGGAAAGTACTTGCTGTATGAACATGAGGACCTGGGGCTGGACCCCAGCACTCACATAGTAAAGACCTGACCTTTATCCCTGACACCCTCACATGGACATACACGCAGGCAAAACACCAGTGCAACAAAGGAAAGGGTGATTTTGTTTGTCAGTGTAGGCTGCAATCCAGGGCTTTGTACACACTAGGAAAATACTTTGCTACTGAGCCACACCCCAGCCCCTCACTGGGGGATTCTAGGCAGGGGCTCTACCACTGAGCCACGCCCCAGCCCCTCACTGGGGGATTCTAGGCAGGGGCTCTACCACTGAGCCACGCCCCCAGCCCCTCACTGGGGGATTCTAGGCAGGGGCTCTACCACTGAGCCACACCCCAGCCCCTCACTGGGGGATTCTAGGCAGGGGCTCTACCACTGAGCCACGCCCCCAGCCCCTCACTGGGGGATTCTAGGCATGCTCTCTGCCACTTGCCAAAATGTATAAATAACATGATTTTCATTAGGCTTCTTTTGGGGGGCGTAATAATTTGGCTCAGCCATCCTAGAATTTTCAAACAGTTCCATTAGAAGCGAAAACTGTGTGTACTCAGGTATAGCCACCCACCTCCCAAAGCATAGCCTCTTCTCTCTCTCTCTCTCTCTCTCTCTCTCTCTCTCTCTCTCTCTCTGTCATGCACACACATGCCTGTCCCTTTCTCTGGTCCCCAACAGCTATGTTTTTCTCAGGGGCAGTTTCCAAACCTTTTGCTCCACCTTAGAAATATTTTAAAAGTACATAGTTTCACAACCCTATTTCCTCCAATATCTTGGAAGAGAAAATTTCAAATAGATAGTCATAGGAATTTTCCAAGTGAATGCTCCCCCAAAAAAAACCCAAAATCCAACTCTGTGGATTCCTCCACTAATATTTTACTTCATCTAATTTGGTGTCTTGAAACATTATTTGTTTATTTTGTGGGGGTTGAACGTGGGTCATCAGGCTCCATTTTTGGCTTTTTGACACAGTCTCTTCATGTAGACCTCAACATGACTGGCCTAGAACTTGCTGGAACTCTCCTGCTTTATGTTCCCATGGTCTGGGACTGTGGGTGTGGTCTAGGAATTGACAATTCGTTTGCCTCAGCCTCCTGCTTGCTAGGATTCCTGGGGTCACCACCAGACCCTGCCCATGTTTTAACGTCATTAGATTCTATTCTGTGTATGTCATCAATTATTTAACCAGTCCTTAGGGTCAGGTGTAGTGGTGCATGCTTTTAATCACAACAGTCCTCAGGCAAAGGCAAGTGGGCCTCTATGAGTTCAAGACCAGCCTGGTCTTCAAAGCAGATTCTAGGCCAACCAGAAGTACATGGTGAGAGTTTTTCTAAAAATAAAAGTAACCAACTCAAATTGTGGGATAAGGTGACTATTTTTATTTATAGAGCACCTTCCTGGTATCCCCCAGGGAGGGGCTGGGTTGTGGCTCAGTGGTAGAGCCCCTGCCTAGACTCCCCCAGTGAGGGAGGGGCTGGGGCGTGGCTCAGTGGTAGAACCCCTGCCTAGAATCCCCCAGTGAGGGGCTGGGAGTGTGGCTCAGTGGTAGAGCCCCTGCCTAGAATCCCCCAGTGAGGGGCTGGGAGTGTGGCTCAGTGGCAGAGCCCCTGCCTAGAATCCCCCAGTGAGGGGCTGGGGTGTGGCTCAGTGGTGGAGCCCCTGCCTAGAATCCCCCAGTGAGGGGCTGGGGTGTGGCTCAGTGGTAGAGCCCCTGCCTAGAATCCCCCAGTGAGGGGCTGGGGTGTGGCTCAGTGGTAGAGCCCCTGCCTAGAATCCCCCAGTGAGGGGCTGGGAGTTTGACTCCTTAATAATTATTTAGTATGGGTTCTAGCCTCAACACAAAAGAAAAAGGGGGCACACAGCATGGTGGTGCATGTTTGTAATCTCAGTATTTGAGTGGCTGAGGCAGGAGGATTTCTGGTTCGTGCCACCCTTGGGCCCACAGCAAAACCTGTATCAGAAGCAACCTAGACAAACGTAAAGAGCCGGCTCCTAGACTGTGCCAGCTATCCCTATGCAAGCGCCACAGGCTCGGCTTTGTGGATGTCTGTGCTGAGTGCTGCCACCTCCACAGCTCCGCGCCCTCCACCTCCCTGCTCGGGGCCTTGGGCCCATCCTCCAGCGCTGGGTGGCCCCAAGTCCCTGTGGTCCTAACCTTCTCCGCCTCACCAAGCAAGATAAAGTCATAAAGAATGTCTGGGATAGATAAAACAAGGGTGGGGAATAGGGAAAAGGGTTGCTTTGCAGCAGTAACAGTGGGGCGGGACCACAGGAAGGCCAGGCAGAGCTCTGTGCCATGGAGGAAGGGCATTGTGGGTAGAGAGGAGGACGTTTGCTCTGCTTCAGGCCTGGCTCTGAGAGCCCTGAAGTGGAATTGGGTCCGTGCGCGCACTCTGGTGGCCGTATGGGGAACAGCCAGAGGCGGATCCGAAGCCAGAGCCTGGAAGCAATGGAGACACAGGCTGGTTGTCTGCCAGCCTGTTTGAGGCCAGAGAGGGTCTGTGTCCCTGCCACTGCGTGGATGCCCCAGCGGAGGCCGCCTGCTCACCATCTTGTCTCTCCCCCAGGGCCACAGGTCCTCTGCCCAACACCACCAAGGTCCAGGACAATCGGCTCCTAATCGACACTGTGGACAAGGCCACTCTCAACAATGTGACCTTCATCTGCAATGTCACCAATGCCTTAGGGTCCCAGCAGGCCCAAATAACCATCCATGTTGAAGGTGAGATGTCCCCAGGCTGGGGGGGGGCACAGCAGGGTGGCCCCCAGGGGTGGGAACAGGGTGGTGGCTGAAATAATAGCCGGTCACGTGGTCACAGATTGCATCAGCCCAGGCGGGGGCAGGTGTGGGATATGTCTAAGGATTCAGAAAGTCCTCTCCAAGCATATTGGACATCACTCTACCAGCTACAAGTAAACAAAGTAAGAGGGGCAGGTGGGCAGGCCACATGGAGACGACTCAGAGGCCAAAGGTGCTGCCAAACCTGATGCCCCGAATCCGATCCCCTGTACACCTGACTTCCGCAAGCTGTCTTCTAGTCTCCACTCACACCCACCGTGGCAGGCACGCGTGCGTATGTATGCAAGCGCACACGCATAGACAATTGTAATTTTTAATTGGAGAAATAATTTGTTGAAAGCACAGATTCAGTTACGGTTAGATCCAGGTGCTAGACCCACGTAACCCCGGAATTCTCTTTACCTCTCCTATCTCTGAAGCCAGGAGTGGGGGGTGCACACCAGTAACCTCTGGAAGGCTGAAGCATTGATAGACAGTTCGGGCCCTCCCGAGCTGTGCAGTGAGACCTTGTCTCACGTGATAATGAGAATTTTTTTTTTTTTTTTAAGTTGGTCACATTACCTAGGTTTGCCTTCCTTGTGCTCAGTTAAGTATCAGGCAGGGTCTTCCTCTGGGGAGTCAGGGTGGGTTTTCTAAGACACCACACTCCGCATTTTAGGACTCTCGGGGAAGGCACACTGCGTTCAGTAGCTTTACCTCAAGTCCCAGGCTGGCTCTCAGTGGCCCCATGTTAGTCACATCTGACATCTGAACCAGTGACAGCAGCCAGGGAGAATGGGTTGTATTGATCGACCAGGCTAGAGTAGAAGGGGGGGAGGGAGGGGGGAGGGAAGGAGGGAGGGAGGAGGAAGGGAAGGGAGGGAGGAGGAAGGGAAGGGAGGGAGGGAGGAGGGAGGGAGGAGGGAGGGAGGAGGGAGGGAGGAGGAAGGGAGGAAGGAAGGGAGGAAGGAAGGAGGGGGAAGGGAGGGAGGAAGCGGATGCCCTGGGTTCGAACTGCAGCAGCCCATCTCCCGGGTGTTGTGGTGGCACCTATAATCACAGTACTTGGGGGAGGAGAAATGGACATCCCTGGCTATGGAGCAAATTTGAGGCCATCCTGAGCTACAAGAATCCCCATCTCAAAACAAACAAGCATCCTACCGTAGGAATCATAAAATGTGGTCAACACCTGGACACTGTAGACTGAGAGATAGGGTTCCCCACAGGAAACTATGGGGTGTTGTTTCAAAGACGCAGGGATAACATGAAAGCTGGGTAACTTTCCTCACCTGCTCGTCTTTTTTCCAGCCACTGAGAAGCAAGGCTCAAGCACAGGCATCATCATCGGCCTCATCTTCGGCATCATCAGCATTCCCATCTGCATCTTGATTGTCATGGTCATCTTAAAGAAATGTGGCATAATTGCATCCTTATGGTGTTGTGAGTCTCTTCTTCTTCTGTATGTTCCCCCACCCTCTTGCCAGGACCACTGCAAAGGAGTTCCTGCTATGTGCTGCCTTGGTCCTGAGCATCCACAGGCACCTGTCCCTAATATTGTGGAGTTCCCCTACAGTACTACCAGGACTTTGTGTGTTAAACAAGGGCTCTACCACTGAGCCACACCCCAGCCCATCACTGGGGGATTCTAGGCAGGGGCTCTCCACTGAGCCACACCCCAGCCCATCACTGGGGGATTCTAGGCAGGGCTCTACCACTGAGCCACACCCCAGCACAGAAGGCTTGGCAGGAACTGTCAGGGTCAAGGATATCCTCAGCTGCATAGTTCAGCCTATGCTACAGGAGAAGTTGCCTCAAAAACAAAACAAAACAAAAACCAAAAACCATAAAAACAAAGCAATAACAAGGAGAGGTAGAGGGAGAGAATGAATATATCAGGGTCTCAATAATTCCTTTAAGGTCACACTCCAGTGGCCTAGCTTCCTCCCATTAGGCTCTGCCCCCTACAGTTCTGTGACTTCCTGACGACTTGCACAGGATCTAAACCTTTATCACATGGGCCTTTTTTGGGTGATATTCAAAAGCCATGCTCTAAGATGGGTATGGTGACACAGTCCTGTGTCATCCCAGTGCTTGGGAGGTGGAGGTAGGAAAATTGTGAATTGGAGGCCAGCCTGGGCTACATGGCATTGCCTTCTCCTCCTCCAAGATAGACCTACACTATAGCCCTGGTTTTAGTGATTATGTGGAGGGGGAGGGTTCAGGGAGTGACTTCCTCTCTGTGACTCAGTTTCCTCATCTGTAAAACTGGTGAAGTGACAGTGTCCATGCAGGTAGCATGGTTAGCGCGGCCCTGACTGTATGTGAGCTGCGCACTGGAAATACATTAGCCACTGTGACCATCAACCTCACCGTTCCTAATGCCCTGGAATGATGGGGTTGTCTGTCTGTCCCCAGTGTCTTCAAGTCCCTTGTCACAAAGGAGGTATTTTCCATTTAACCCCTGCTAGACAGTGGACAGAACTGAGGCTCCAAGAGGTTAACTCACTGAGCCCAAGGTCACACTGTCCCTAAAGGACAGAGGTGGGATTTGGGCCCCCGAGCAAATAATTTTGTTTTTGAGGCACAGAATCTCACTCTGTAGCCCAGGGTAACCAGGAATCCAGCACATAGATCAGGGTACCCTAAACTCACAGAGGTCCACCTGCCTCTGCCTCCTGAGTGCTGGGATGGAAGGTGTGTACCACCACACCTGGCTTTCTGTTTTGCTTTGTTAGCATGCATGGGTGTGTCTGCGCACCACATTCGTGCAGTTCCCACAGCCAGACGACAGCATCAGATCCCCTGGACCCGGAGTTTCAGATGGCCCTGAGCTGCCGTGTGGGCAGTGGGAACCGAGTCCAGGTCCCCTTGAGGAGAAGCCAGTGTGCTTAAACACTGAGCCATTTTCCTGGCTTTTTTTTTTTTTTTTTTTTTTTTTTTTTTTTTTTTTGAGACTTGGTCTCATGTAAATCTAGGTTGGCCTCAAATTCTATTCTATATGTAGCCTGAGATGACCACAGATTACTAGTCTACCTCTAAAGTGTGTGTCACCACACCTGGCTTTTCCCTGATCTACATCAAAGCAGGGGCCAGAGAGAACTGATCCTTTCAGACACCCCCTTCCCGCGATCCCCAGAGTCTCAGACACCCCCTCCCCGCGATCCCCAGAGTCTCTTCCTTCCTGACAAATTCTCTTGTTTCTCCAGGTCGATCTCAGCGTTCCAGGCCCAATTTAAGGCCCTCAAATACTGAGGTGAGTACAGAGACTCAAGGAGGAAGACGAGGGGTCCGAGTGGACCACAGACCTGTTTTCTGGGACCTTCTCCAGGAGGGGGACCTATAATTGCAACATGGTATCGGGAGTCGGGGGCTTTCCAGGCCCCCCCAGCCTGTGCACCACTGGGAAGGGATGGGATCTGGTGGGAGGAGGCTGGGTTATGCTGGGTGTGTCTCTAGCAGGGAATATTGGGACCATGGGCACACATCTCCACTCTGGTGTTTATTGTTGTTTTTTGGGTTTTTTGTTTGTTTGTTTGTTTGTTTGTTTTTCCAGACAGTTTCCTCTGTAATCCAAGCTAACCTCAAAACTCACAGAGATCTACCTGCCTTTGCCTCCTGAATGATGGAGCGTTTTCTCTCTCTCTCTCTCTCTCTCTCTCTCTCTCTCTCTCACCCTCTCTCTCTCTCTCTCTTTTATAGATGGTAGTGAGCCACCATGTGGTTGCTAGGAATTAAACTCAGGACCTCTAGAAGAGCAGCCAGTGCTCTGAACCCCTGAACCCATCTCTCCATCCCCTGTTCTTTTTAGTTTTTTGAGATCTAACTCCTTGTTTGGCCAAGGCAGGCCTTGAACTCTCGGTCTACCCACCTCTATCTTCCCAATAATGGGATTACAGTTGTGTGCCATTGCATCCAGCTCTCTGTTTTTTGACACAACATCTGACTGTGTAGCCTAGGCCAGCCTCTAAGTCACGATCCTCCTGCCTCAGACTGCAGAGTGCTGAGGTTATGAGGCATGCCTCTCTCCTAAGCCCTGTCTGTGGCCCCTGCTCAGGGGCCATGTGGGCCTGCTCTTTGAACACTTCACTGGGAAGATCGCTTATCTGAGAAAGGCCCAGACTGAAGTCTAATGTTTGATGTTTCCCCCATCCAGTATTCAGTTGTGAACAGCAACGACTTAGAGATGAATGGCACGAGGCGCCAAAACCAGGGGACAACTGGGACCCATGAGGAGAGATAAAGAAGCCTCCAGAGAGACTGGCCACCCCGTGTGGTGAGCACCGAAAGTTCGGGGATGCCCCAGGACCCTCATAAATTCCTCATTGTCAGAAAGTATGTGTGAAGCTCAGTGTGGGGCCCACAGCTGCCATCCCAGCAAGCAGGAGGACTGGACTGAAGCAGGGGCCTGGGCTACAGACTGAAGTCCAGTCTGTACGTAGCCGAGCAAACCAGCAGGCTTGAGGTGTTCAGGAACCGGGACAGTAGCTGCAGTGAGTGTTCGCGCTGGCGACAAACCCCCTACCTCACGTTGGACCACGTAGAATGTTCCAGGAGCTGAGTGGTTGGCCCCTGAGGTTCAACCTCAGAATCTCTTTGTCAGTTGGGTCATTCAAGGTGCTCCCTCGCTTGATAAGGTCTCACTGTGTAGCCAAGGCTGGGCTCAAACTCAGAGATCCGTCTCTACCTCCCAAGTGCTCCAATTAGAAGCGTGTGCCGCCACACCCTTCTCCATCTACTTTCTGATGAAGTGAAGAAAAAATATATATATATTTATAAAAGTTATATAGTTTTGTATATGTATTTTTGAGACCGAGTTTTATATAGCCCAGGCTAGCCTCAAACTTATAGGCACCTCAGTCTCCTTTTTGATAATGAAAAACTTATATTTATTAAAAGCTATATAGCTTTGTGTATATATTTTTGACACAGTTTTGTACAGCCCAGGCTAGCCTCAAACATACTATGTAATCAAGAATAATCTTAGTAATTTATTTTAACTTAAGAGTTTCATATAGCCCAGGCTAACCTAAAATTTACTATGTAACCAAGAATAATCTTAGTAATTTATTTTAACTTAAGAGTTTCATATAGCCCAGGCTAACCTAAAATTTACTATGTAACCAAGAATAATCTTAGTAATTTATTTTAACTTAAGAGTTTCATATAGCCCAGGCTATCCTCAAACTAATTAAGTAACTAAGAGTGATTACTAATTTATTTTAACTTATTTGATTTCAAACTTGAACGTACCCTGCCCCCATTCCCTTCCCTCGACGCTCAATCCATCCATCAGCCTCCTTACTTCTCCCCCACTCTGTTCTGATTTTACACCTTGACTACAGACACTGTTTTATTTAACTGTGTAAAACTCTGTGAACCACAAATGAAAGAATGTGTTTTGTCTCTCTGAGGCTGACTCTGTTTAATGTGATTCTTTCCATTTGTATTCATTTCCTTGCAAATGATGTGACTTTGCTGTTCTTTGTGACTGAGAAATCCCCATTGTGTGTTTACCATCTTTCCTTTACCCTGTTGACATGACACACACTGAAGTTATGTGTGCATGCTTCGGTAAACACAGTAGGAAACTCGGTATTATGCTGGCCTCCGCCCCCTCACCATGGACGGGACACGCAGGCCCCGAGTGGCCCCCCACGGCTACATCATGAGTTACCATGACATAAGGACTCAGTACGCATGTGCGAGCTTCCCCTCTCTCTTCTGCTCCATGTTGGCCAACAGCTACCCCTTTCTTTCCCCTCCACCAATAAATTCCTCCACGTGGGCGCGCTGGGTCTCGTGTTCATGTTTCATTGCCCGCCGCTGCAGCAAAAGGACAACAAACACCAGCATGCAAGCGTCCTGGTGTGTTGACCTGGAGTTTTCAGGGTAAATAAATCCCCAGGAATGGCGCAGCCAGGTCATATGGTCGGTGTCTTCTGGATTTGGAGGAAGTTGTGCACTGAGCTCCTCCATCCTTGACTGTGTTTGTCATCATTTACTTGATGACTGACTGCTGTTCTGACTGGGGTGGGATAGAATCTCCAGTGTGTGTGTGTGTGTGTGTGTGTGTGTGTGTGTGTATTAAAGGCATGTACCTCCACCAACCACCTGGCCCTTCAATATACCTTTTACCTATATTTGTCTGATGGATAATGGGGTCGGACATTGTGGTGGTTTCAATGAAAATGGCCCCTGCAGACTTAGGGAGTGGCGCCATTAGAAAATATGGGCTTGCTAGTGTTATGGAATATTATTTTAAGATGTGTTGCATTTGTTTATGCTGTGACTATTTGTTTAGTAATGCAAGGATGTGTTGCATTTGTTTAACTGTGTGAAGCTGTGTTACTGTGCCTGTCTAAAGCACCTGATTGGTTTAATAAAGAGCTGAACTGCCAACATCTGGGCAGGAGAAAGGATGGGAGGGGACGGCAGGCAGAGAGAATAAATAGGAGAAATCTGGGGAGAGAGGATGGAGGAGTCAGAGGAAGAGGGAGGGCCCAGCACTCCAGCCAGCCACGGAGTAAGAGTGAAAGAAAAGTATATAGAAGGAAAGGGAAAGGCCCGAGGTAAAAGGCAGACAGGCTAACTTAAGCTAAGCAAAGCTGGCTAGAGCCAAGCCAAGCTAAGGCCAGGCATTTATAAGTAATAATAAGTCTCCATGTGTTTTTATTTGGGAGCTGGGTGGCAGGCCTCCAAAAGACCAAAGGGTAATAAAACAACCAATAACAGCGGGAATAGGTGTGTCACTGGGGGCGGGCTTTGAGGTTTCAAATGCCCAATTCAAATCCGATGTCACTCTGTTGTCTGCTGATCCAGATGTAGAACTCTGGGCTCCTTCTCCAGCACCAGGTCTGCCTGCCTGCTTCCTGCCATAGTGATAACGAACCACAGCTCTGAAACTGTAAGCCATCTCCAATGAAATGCTTCTTTATAAGAGCTGTCACGGTCATGGTGTCTCTTCACAGCAATAGAAACCCTAAGACAGTCGTATCTGTATTGCTGTTTGTACTCCGTCTTTTGAGAACCGTCTTCATTTTGTGAACCCATTTACTGGATGGGATGTTGTTTCGTTTTGTTCTTTTGTTTTTGTTTTCCTTTCTTTGAAACGGGGTCTCTGTGAAGGTCTGGCTGTCCTCAAACTCGCAGAGCTCCTCCTGCCTCTGCCTCCTGAGTGCTGGGACCAGCGGGTAGTGTGTGCCACCACCCTCTGTGCCTGATCTTGCAGTGTGCCCCCTACAGTCTCCTCCACAGTTCCTGAGCCCGCACTTAGATGAGCCTCTATAACGAATGCATATTAGACTTTTGTTTGGGGTGGGACATAGGGGTTGAGTTTCTTCCTTCTCATGAGGTTGTCTCCGTTTCCCCAGCACCGTTTGTTGAAGGAGCTGTCTTTTCTCCAGTGTTTATCTTTATAAAAACCAAGAAATTATCAGCCCGTCATGGTGGTGCACACCTTTAATCCCAGCCCTGGGAGGCAGAGACAGGCAGAGTTCGAGGCCAGCCTGGTCTGCAGAGTGAGTTCCAGGACAGCCAGAGCTACACAGAGAGCTCTGTCCCCCAAAAAGCAAAACAAACAAAAATAAAGTAAATAAAGAAAAGAGGTCAGCTGGCTGTGGCTGCATAAATTGTAGCCCAGGTTGTCCTTGAAGTCACTGTGTAGTTGAGTCTAGCCTTGAACTCCTAGTCCTACCTCCACCTTCCAAGTGCCAGATGTACAGGTGCACAGACTGCCAGCTCCAGCAACCTTTTCCCCAAACCTGTGTCCCGAGAGCCGTCCTGCTGCGGGTTATCTAGGACTGACAAGTTTCTAACTCGCCTATGGAAGATGCTGGGGTCCCGCGGTCACGCAGCACCAGGAGGCAGGATAATAGCTCAAATTCGGCTGCAAGCGACATGTTATAAGACCTCTGGGCATGATGACCTGATTCAGGTCCCAGCACACATGTAAAAAGCACACTTTCACAAATAACGTGTGTCTGCACTACACACACAAACACGAATGCACCACACTCTCTTACGGGGGTCTCTGCCAATACCAGGGTGCACAGAGTAGGCAGTCCAGAGAGGCAGAACCGAATCGGCTCACCATGACTTGGTAGCTGGTGTTGGTTCAAACTTCTAGAGTCTGACACTGGGTAGCTTATTTTAAGCATATTTAATATAGGACAATTTGGGAACAAGTTTGCGGGTGTAACAATCCCGTGTGCTTAATTACATTGGAACTCTTCTCAAAGAACGTCACATCTGAAGGTGTGGTTGAAATGAGTCCACCAGACACAAGATAAACGATTAACAGGTTTTTGTTAGAGAAGCACTTACACAATTAATAGTCAATAACCGCCACAGCCTTCCCGCTCCAGAAGATGAAGTCTCTGCCCTTCCCATGCTCTGACCACAACCCAAGAGAGCGACCCAAGCCCTCCTCTACCTTATAAGGAATCACAGACGAACACCTGAAGCCACGCCCATAGGGTGTGGCCACCACCTCAAGCTCACTGACAAAGCAAGACGTCTTCCATGAATATCGGCTACACGTGTTGTCTTAAGGGCGGAGGGGACAATCTGCCTGGTGTGGCCTCATTCATACCGATAGTGTACAGACCATCTGGGTTATTTATTAGCTACCTCGGATTCTATTTGAGGGAGCCGCTGACCATACAGAAAGGAAGGGTAAGTAATTGATGAGGAAGTAAGGGATGGATCCTATGAGTTACTGTTTTAGTAGCTGCATTATTTACTAAGCTAATAGGCTGCTTGGCTTCATGTATTTCATTCTTTATAGAATTTAACTGAGAATATCTACAAAGCAACTTAGAGAGAGCAGAGTCAAATCCTCGATAGTGATAGGCAGCTAGGAGTGTGGCCCAATTGACATGGCCCAAAATTTTAAATTCTGCTCTTTTATTTCTCACGAAAGTTAAGCATTCATTTAAGCATTAATTAGGTGAGCAGAAGAAGATAAAGTCAACCATGAAATGAACGGCCAGTACGTCAGGAAACCTAATCAGGACCCTCAAGGGTGCTTTATGTCCCAGTTCCTGTACTAGAAATTGGGCCTATTTTTATTTCCCCCCATGAAGGGACTGTTGCACAATCTATATTGGGTTGTTTCTGCTGTGTAGGTGTAAGGTGTCCTGTCTTACTCCGGATGATCAAAGAAAGGGTCACTGAAGCTTTAGTCTAAGTAATAATCAATAAAAACCAGGAGGCACTGGGAGGTGGTGGCGCACGCCTGTAATGCCAGCACTTGGGAGGCAGAGGCAGGCGGATCTCTGTGAGTTTGAGGCCAGCCTGGTCTACAGAGCTATGCAGCGAAACCCTGTCTCAAAAAGTCAAAACAAAACAAAAGGAAAACCCCAGGAGTCAGATGTCGGGGTAAAAAGCAGGCAGATCAGAGAACTAGGAGCAGCTGCCAGTACCTCCCTTCTTCTCTCCTTCCTTAGTCCGGAGAGTTCAGAGGAGAGTTCAGATCCTGTCTCTGTCCCCACATCATCACTCTTCTCTGGGCCTCTCCCAACCGCTGGGATTAAAAGCCTGAGCGCCACTGCCTGGCTTCTATGGCTAAGTAGTGTTAGCTCCACCCTCTGATCTCCGGGCAAGCTTTATTCGTCAGAACACAAACAAAATATCACACAACAGGTTGCTCCAAGAAGTCATTCAGGCTCTGTAGCAGCAGGAAGGGGCAGTTTCTGCAGACTGGACCTCTGACAGCTGTGCAAAGGCGTGTTTGGAGATTGTTATGCCAAAGCTTGTGTGTGGGGGGGGGGGTTGTTTGTTTGTTTTGGAGCATAAAAGCTGTCTCAATTCTGCCCTCGGGGTCCTCAGTCCTCTACCCCTGTGTGGCGTAT